TACCATCTCACGTAGAGCGGCTACCTCACCGCGTAATGTAGACACCTCAACACGCCATGCACCATCGTCTTTGCGTAAAGTACCGACCTCCTCACGCAAGGCATTGACCTCATCACGTAACTCCCCTAACTCATCCCGTTGAGGTGGAGGTGGAGAACAGGGAGATAAACGTCGTGGCATCTTTTCCGGTCGCCTATCTTGCGGTGATGGTGGAGAAGAGGCTCGATGATGTGACAGAATAGGTGATGGCTGTCGTTGTGGAGGTGTATAGCCGGGTCGATCAGATGATGGCTCTGGGTGAGGTGATAGCTCTGGGGGAGGTGATGACTCCCGAAGTGGAGACTGCTCATCAACCGTTCCATCAAAAAAACGCTTACTAGCTTGCCACCAATCAGTGGCAAGCTCAGCTTCCATGGGTGTCAGCCTCTGTAGAGGAGTGTTGGCCTCCTAACAATATAAAAGCTCAAACAAAGTTAAATGTGTACTAGTAATAACTTGTTTATAAACATATGGTAGTATTTATGTTAACTTACATTATTTATTGTCGTATACCGTAGTAAATCTTCCCATTGCAAGGTTCGTTTCCTCTTCCAGGAAATAGCCCTGGGAATATTATTTGAAGTTTTTATTGCATATGTCTTCATGGCGGGAAAGGCCTCAAATATCCAAATCTACAAACAATATAATAACAAACATTAGTAATTGTTAAATAATTACTTATAATTTTGGAAACATTATATAAAAAATTTTACCTTAAAGGCCCAAATAAAGCCTGTCAAAGTGTATTTGGAACCATCGCCATGCAAACTTTTTCGATCATCCAAGGCAGACGATAACTTATTCCATGTAGCTTTCCATAAATACGAGCCCCACGGAAACAGGTTCCACGCATTTAGGTCTTCTACCAATTTGATTAGATCATTTGGAATAGGTTGTCTGGCCTCTCTGCCTAAAAAGCCGGCATGCAAAAGAATTAGAAGGCATACTCGGACAACGTCGACGTCATCCATCCGAGTAAAACCATCTTTATTATTCAAAAATCTTGTCAGGTCTTCTACGTGTAGACTCGGCCTCTCCAGCTCAGGAAAAACCCGGGATAGCCATGATGGGCGGGTAATGTGTCTAGTGTACCGACCTACATCATCGTGTCCGAAGCGTAGACCGGTGATTAAGCAAAACTCCTCCCGCCCAAAACACGTATACGCCGGTGGAAAATCAAACCATATCTCTTCATCACGACGTTGTATAGTCTCTGGTAGATCTCTAGTCATGGTTTGAAGAAACAGGTGTGTCAACATCGCATCTCCACCGGGATGTTGTACTTTCAGCCATGGCCCGAAGCATGTATCCTCAAACATTTTTCTTTGTGCAGGTGAAAGCTTCGACGCAATTGTTTTGGCCAGGCTGACTTTATTTCTCAAGGTCAATTGAGCCGAATAAAAGTTCTACAAAAACAATAAACATACTAAATTAGATATACCAAAAACTACACTGTGAAGATATACCAAAAACAATAATAAACATAAATAGTAGTAGTTTATTCTTCAAACTTAAATATGCAACACTGTGAATTTCGTATTTGTCTTTGTTTTTTGGTTGAAGTAATGCAATTCATTCAAGTTTCAATTTGCAGAAGAAGAATAGTTTCTGAAAATGAAAATCGCAACACGAAAATGACTATCGCAACGAGAGAATCGCAACGCGAAACTAAAATCGCGTTGCGATTTGCATTTCGCGTTGCGATTCTTGGTTGATTTAATAAGCAATCTAAGTGAAATGGTTAATCTATTATTGAAATTACCAGTAAACTTATCATCAATTTCAATATGAAAAACCTAATAATAATGCAAAAATTTCAAAAAGAAAATAATTAAAAAAACTAACCATCGTTGGTTGATTTGGTTGATTTTCCATTTCTGATTGTGAGGGTGGCTCTGAGAGATTTAGATAGACGAATTTCGCCGGAGATGGGGACGGATTTCGTCGGAGATGGGTGAGAGAGTGAGAGATGGAGATGAGACTGAGTTGTGATTTTAGGTTTTAGGTTATGAGTTGCGATTACGGGATATACTGTGGACAGTTCAGTGTTCCAATATATTAATATTCATGTTTGGAATTTAAAAATAAAATACTTGGCCAGGATACTAATGGCGCTTTGAAAATCGCATTGCGATTATGTATTATCGCGTTGCGAAAGTCAGTATCGCGTTGCGAAAGTAAGTATCTCGTTGGGATTTTTTATTATCGCATTGCGATAGTCAGTATCGCATTGCGATTTTCCCAATTCGCGTTGCGATTTACTTATTCGCATTGCGATTTTCTCAATTCGCGTTGCGATTTACTTATTCGCATTGCGAATTGGGAAAATCGCAACGATACTATAGACCATCGCAACGCGATTTTCAACTATCGCATTGCGAAAATGCAACGCGAATTTGCGATAATGGAGATCGCGTTACGAATTAGCGATCGCATTGCGATTTTGTTGGTTATTTTGGCAAATCCGGAAAAAATTGGTTAAAATCGTATATTATATGGGATTTTTGGTCACTGAGGTTATTTTCTCTAACTGTAAATTATTGGGGATACTGAATCTGTGCTCAGCTAATGGGGAAAAAAGTTTTACATGGAGAATCAGATTCTATGTCCAGTTTTATATTTCGCCCTTCAAATTTTATATTTAATTTGATATACAAATTTATTCCAAATTGAATTTATAATTTATAAGTGACATTTGATTTATATATTATGTTGTCTACAACTTGATTAAATGATATAATCATGTTTACTTTTTCTTTAATAATTATACGTGAGTTGATAATAAAGATGGGGTTTTTAAGTCTTTCAACATCTAAGTTTAAATAAATTTGTTGAGTGATTTTAGTGTTAAAAACAATATCATTTTTTTAGATATAGATTCGAGTAATCACGTTTACATGGTGTGTGTACGTTATCAATATATTAAGAAAATTTTGAATATATATTATCTTATAATATAAATATTATATATGAATTATATTATAAGAAAGTTTTGAATATGTATTATCTTATAATATAAATATTATATATGAATTATTAATTTAAATTTATTCTGATTTAATTTATATAATATCAATTGCGTTCAATTATTTTGATCTAGATTAAATATATTTCAATTATTAATGTAAAAATGTAAAAAATAATTGACATTATTATTATTATTATTAAAAAATACCTTCTAGAAAGTAATTGAAATAATTTTAAAAAATAACCTGAAAAAATTGGTCCGAATTAGCTCATATTAAGAAGTAAAGAAATAGTGGTATTTGAGGTATTCTAACTTAATAAAAAAAACAATGTGATTTTTATTTTTTTTATTTTACATTGGATGTGGTCTTTAAATGGAGGAAAAAACTAATTTCATCATTTAACCAATGAAATCAAACATTGATCGTGACAGTGCTAACTAGTGACGTGATAGTTTACGACTTTAATGTGGTGGTTTATGGTGTTGACATGCAGTTCACGGTGATTGATGACACGATAGATGAATTAAATTATTTTTTGGGGTCGAGTTCGAGGATTAAATTAATTTTTTTAAAAGTTCAACGGCTTATTTGTTTTTTTTAAAATAATTTAAATCTTAATTTTAAAATAAAAAAATATTCAAATATTTTTAAAAAATAAATATAAAAAATACTAAAGATACTATTAGTACTTAGTAGCACCAAGTCTTCAGCTCTGACCGGTAAGCATGAAACCGATGTAGAGATCAAGGCTTCTCCCGAGCAGTTCCACTATATGTTCGCCAACAAACCGCACCATGCTTGCAATGACAAGATTCAACAAATATTACTATGCTTTTCGATTGATTTCTTGCTCTCTTTGTTTGTTAATAATATTAAGATGGAAAGGCTAAAAAGGCGAAGGATGTAATCCAAGCTGTCACGAGGGGGAGCTTTTTATTTTCTGCTATGTTTTTGGGTTTGTTATGTATCAAGTTGAACATATTATGTGCTAAATATAAAGTATGGCCTATAACTTCTTTACATTCTTTTAACGAGTTCGTTTAATATTATGGATTTAATATAAAGAATTTAAATCGATAAACGTTAAAGAAAAACTGTATAAATGTTAATGTAAAAGATGATACGACAATATTATCTGCTAATGTTAATGAACGGGAAGACTCATATCTATTAAGTAAAATATTTTAAAAAATAAAACATTAATAACTATGTTGATAAAAACAAATGAATTATGAAAGCTATGATTTGAGCAGAAAATTGTAGTCGATAATAGATCGTTCGTTGGCCAGTGTTAAACTTTTGTATCTCCATAAGGATGTAGAGAGATGAGTGAGGGTGATGTGGTTTCATCCCTTTTCTCAATCTTAGTGGAGAGATCTTATAGTGATTCTTAGAAATTATGTCAGGCATTGGATCATTATGGTTACTTGTGAATTTACAGACTAGGTGGATATGATAAGCTTGCAATAAATTTAGCTCTAGTAGGTCATGTGAACTTGTCAAAGATCATGTCAATAAATCACGATTTCTCGAGAGATGTTACATTTTCAAGTTCATTCTTTTGGAGATATTCTTATATCTTCTGAAGTTTCTAGGTGTTAGAGATTCAGAGATGCTTTTAGGTCCTCCGGAGATAATGAGATGTGAGAATAAAATATGCAGAGGACCTTTGGCGAGAGTAAATATTTGTCCTCCCTTAGATGAGGGAATATCATAAAGTCACTTAAGACAGCCATGAAACTTTATATGCGTTTAATAGAACTTTTTTAGGGGAAACGTCACAAAGTATGGGACCCCATGTGTCTAGCAGGGTGGAACGAGGCGTTGTTTTAACCATTCGAACACAAACATAATGTGAAAATGTAATCCAAATTTTCCCAAGAACATTCCAATTGTCATTAGAAATGGCAAAAAACAAACAAACAAGATATATATATATATATATATGTGTGTGTGTGTGTGTGTGTGACATGTATTAACACAAATAACATGTACAAAATTTCATCAATTCTTCCGAGTTTTGAAACGTGACAAAGACATTCTATTTGTCATTACAAGAGAAGAAACGCCAGAGATATCTAAAATCATCGATTATCATCATGAATTAGGTGTGTTAAGTTAAAAATGATCTGTCTATAGTTACCTTATGTTAGAAAAAGAAACAAACAACCAATTGCGCGTTTGCTTATGGTGTTCCAATGAATCACGAGGCTTTTGCAAGCTTGTTAACATGTCTCAAATACCACAACGCACCCTCAGCTGCACGATCGGCCGCCATTTTCTTATTTGGTCGAGGATCACTAAAGCACTCCAAAATTGTCGTCGATGATTCTTCTTGCATCTCAACAACCACTTTGAAAGTGAATCTATTCAACACATGAATTACTCAACATATACATTGTTACATGGGAATCAACTATATCATTACGTAAACTTAATCAAATCAGAAAGAACCAACTATTATATTCAAGTTTCAACAATTTAGAATGAGTGGTCTCAATGGTAAAAACAAATGTTGTTCTCTTTAGAGAATCCGAGTTCAAATAGCTGAGTTTGCAAGATGTATGCTTTGTCAATAGACTAAGAAAAACTTTAAATATATACTATATTGTAATCACATCGTACTTTTCATGAGATTACTTACAATTTCATGTGGCAAGGGCCTTCCTCCTTGCAACATTCATACAATGGATGTTTCCAATTGTTTGCAGCGCATATCTCATGCAACTGTGATTTGGCTGCAGCCCTTCTTGGAGCATCTAACAGCAAAACAAGATCATACTAGATTCTAGAACCTCTTCTTTAAAAAGAAAAAAATTAACCTATCTTTTTTAAATGCTAATCTAATAATGAATTTAAAATAGACAGAGTGCATAATTCACCTAAAAATTAAAGAAAATAACAAATTTCTCTAAATGACACTAAATTAAGTGGCACAAATTTTGTAAAAATTAACAGGAATAAATTATGAGTAAAAAATATAATTAATGATAAATGATCTATTTGGTACCCACTTATTATTGTGTCTCTACTTCTATCACCAACATATTATATTTTTACAAAATTATACCTAACATTGCTTTTGTTTCTATTTTAATATCTTGCGGTTAAACTTGACCATTAATTTAACGGAATTGATGATGTGACATTAAATAATATTCCCTCTGTCTCACTAAAAATGTTCCTTATTGACTTTTTAAAAGTCAAAATTTTTAAAACTACTTGATTAAAAGTTTCTAAAATATTTTTTTTGATTTTTATCAATAATAAATTTTAAATAATAATGAGTTAAAGTTGAAAAAATTGAACCCAAAAAAAGTCAATAAGGGAGTAACAATTTTAGTCTCAAAACTTACACATTCCACATTAGACTCAATTCGAAATAATTCAATAAATCTTTAATATTTTGAAACCTTATTAATTTGGTCCTTAATTCAATTACGAAATATAATTAAAATAAAAAATACTATTATAAAAAATATAATTAAAATTAAATCTATACGTGTAATGAATTTTTTTATCGTGTTTATTTTTACGCAATTAGATTTAAAAATAAAAATATAAATGTATGAAAGGTCAGTAAAAAATATATAAAAGGAAAAAAGATAAAGGCACTAGTAGACAAAATGGAATGCACAAAAGACATTATTTTTCTTTATTGATTACATTCATTGTTAAAAAAGAATTTTTAGATTATTTAATTTAGTATTTAAATATTTAACGTTATTGTTAAAAAAATATTTTTAAAAATATAAATTATTATTTTGACATAATATTATAAGTTATATATATATAAATGATATTAAAATTCTTTATATTATAATATATGAAATATATTAACTTAAATTATGATAAAAATATATAAAAATATTTTTATAATAAATAAATAATTTATAATGACTGCATACTTAATAAAAGTACATAAAATTTAAAATAAATATTATCTAAAAAATTCAACATGATAAGATATAAAACTTTTGAACCCGTAAATAATTTATCAATCATACAATTATATCTTAGTAAAAATTATAAATTTATAAATTATAAAATAAACACGTTATAAATAACAAAAAAAATATTAAACCATAAATTTAACCCCAAAAATACTTTTTAAACCCTAAAATTTATAACTTTTACCTTTAAATTACAATTATTTCTCACACGCAATTTTTTATGCAAAAACGTATATCTAGTATTAAATTTTAGTGAGTTAATTGTATCACACATTCTTAAATTATGATCTTTATTTTAAATTGGACTTTAAATTTTTAGATATTTTAATTTCATTACCAACTTAAGCATCTTGTTCTAAATTAGTTCTCAAAATTTTGAACATTCTAATTTTATCCTCGAACTATGACTTTCATTCTAGATTGATCCCAAAATTTTGAACATTTCAATCTCATCACAAACTATCAATATATGCTAATTACATCCACTGTTAGAAAAATATTAAACCAAACTACTATTATATGTTTAAAAAAAATAAAATTTAGATTAAACAATGGTTGAAAATGATTACATATTTGAATGAATTTAGGAATAAAATTGGAAGATTCAAAAGTTTCAAGACTAATTTAAAGCGAGAAGCATAGTTTGGGGATGCAATTAGAATGTTCAAAAGTTTGAGAACTAATTTATAATTTGAGTCATAGTATAAGGATGAAATTAAAATATTTAAAATTACAAATACCAATTAAGAATGAGGGTCCTAGTTTGAGAATATGTGACGTAATTAACTCATTCTAAAAATTATTTTCGCCGTTAAAAAACTTTCTAAATCTAATTAGATTATCTGCAGATAGCCTAGTACTTTCATAAATAGATTTTAGATTTAAAAAAAAAAATAGAAACAAATAAACTGAAGAACAAAACTTCTTAGAGATTCCAAAATCGACAGAATCTTTACCTTCAACAACCAAATTACTATGGCGAATCTCAATCACCTTGTCGAGGTTGAACTCCTTGGTGTTGTTTGAATTTCCGTCAGCAAAATCAGTTTTGGGATCGAATTCTACAAGCTTCGAATCTTGTTGGGAGCTTGGATTAGCGACGATAGGGTGATTTCCGGAACTGGGATTCTCATACTTATCCTGGAAAAAAAACAAGGAGAAATAACAGAGAGATTGAATAATTGATTAATTGAAGAGCTTAAGTTATTTACCAGATAGGGTGGGGAGAGGATTGAAGGATTTAGAGGAGGAAGGTTCTTGAGATTGATTCTGGGGTTTTTGCTGGTTTTTGTGTTGTTCATTTTTGGGCAGATGACAAGAGGGAGATGCTCTTCTTTTTTCCTAACCTAAAAGTTTGCTGCCCAATCTAAAGACAAATGGCAAGCTAATAAATAAATGGTGTATAGTTAAAGACAACGCCTCCCACTTCTTTAATAACTAACGATTACTCACCTATTCTCATACTGTTAACCTCATATCCGATTGATAATGCAATGTTGGGTGCATGACTCGAGCAAACGTAGTTCGATCAACTTGTGGCTCAGCCAAATTAAAACTGGTTTCATTGAGCCCATATGTACGCTAATGAGAATCTCTTAACTGTTGTGAATCTCATGTTCAACGATAAATGGATTGTTTGTGTCGGCGAAGATATAGAGTTTTGGGTCGTGATGTGGCCAGTGAGGAATTTGATCACTTACCGATGCGTGAAGACGTGTTTGTTTTATATGAATTTGTAAGGTGTTTTGTCAAAAATAAAAAAAATTATATAGACGAACATGTTAAATTTAATTTAATTTATTTAATGATATATTTTTATAATATTGATAAATATTATTTATAATTTATTTTTTAAAATAAAATATTATTTATAATATAAATATATTATTTATATACATACATGCATGTACACGCACACACACTTAAATCACATTAACATGATCAAGCCTTCCACCCATATTTGATTTAGACTTTGAACTACCCACTTGAATTTTCATGAAACATACATAACCAAAACACAATCAAACGGTATTAAGATCAAACTCCATACAAAATCAAATATAAAATATCTAAAACTTGGGTGATTAGAATCCTTGTTTAATTTGTTGTTGCTCTTGGCCAAAATTCTCATCATCTTTTAGACTAGGACAATTGCTGCAATACCTTCAGTAGAAGCTCATTTTGTCCGGGGTTTTCATTCGAGTTTCGATTTGTTTTTTTTATTATTTATATATTTGGGGGCTATATTATTATTATTGTCAATTACGTATGAAGTATTAATTACCATATTACTATTAGTTGGATTTATCGATTAATATTGTTTAATTAAACAAGTTAATTATTAGGGTGTGTTTAAATGTTATACGTTTTATTATATAGAGTATATAAATAAATAATTAATATTAAATATATATGTATCGATTGAGCTTTAACAAAATACTATTTTACAGGCCCTAATTACAAGACAGCCCCTCACTTGACCCAATTAGAGGCCCAAATCGGAGCAGGCCTAAACTCGTTGCAAGCCTAGTATTATTGCCCAATTGAAGAAAACCCTAAACCCAATGGGGTTTTATGTGGGAAGACCTAGTGCCGCTAGAAGCCTCCACCGTTGGATCTGATGAGAACCAACGACCAGAATGCGAAGACTATTAGGGTTAGGTCACAGGTTTCCAGCGCCACACAGTAGAGGCCGTTGGATCTGGTTTCAAGATCAATGGTTAACAACACTCTGAAGGTCCCCAGGTGGCACGTGAAATACACTGAAGGTTCCTCAGCCCCCCAATGGCCAGATCGTACGCGTGGAGACCACACTCGTCGCTCCAGATGCCACCCGATCCTCCATGGGCCAACTGTCTCATTGGTGCAACCGTCTTGGATTTTACCTGCAACAAACAAAATAACAACAACAGATTCCTTTGGCCACGTAAAACCTCCAACAGGGCAAGTGAAAACAAAAAGAGTAAATCAACACATATATGGGGATTTCATCAACATAAGGGAGGTGGGGGAAAAAAGGAGAGGAAAAACGAAGGCAGAGAAAAAGGAAAAAAATTAGCAACAAAACTAGAGAGCAACCAATGCAGAGAAAAAAACGAAAAAAATCATTTTTTTCATCAACCACATATAGAAAAGAAAGAAACCTCAAAGTTTTTTTCTGTTTATTACCGACTCATCAACCAACAAGAAAAAGACCCAAAAAAAAGAGAAACCTTACCTTTCTAGTAGGAAAATCGTCATCACCGTCCTCTAAGAGCCGTCCAGGGTAAGTTTTTTGTGATTCCTAACCACTGTTGAGTAGTTTTTTGGGTTTAAGGGTTTAGTTTGGAAGAGGTTAGGGTCTCAGGATCTAGTTTTCTTAAGTGAGTTTTGGTTGGGGTTGGTCGTATGTTGGGTTTGAAACCTATTGACTCCTCATCGGAGCCCTCGGGGAGGTTGGAGGCCACGGTGGCCGCTGGTTCTACTGGGGTTGAGAGGAATGAAGAGGGAGAGTGTAGAGAGAACAGTGGGGGTTGTTTAGTAAAGGAAAAAGAGGCTGAAATGAAATGTGATTAGGGTTAGATTCATACCCAAAGTAGCATATATATACGACTGACAGAACGGCGTCGTTTGAACAGCTACCAAAACGGCAGCATTTCGGGAAATGAGAGAACCCGTGTTTTGAAAAAAGGGTAACTGCGTGTGAGCTCCCTTGTGTTATTGAACTGTTGTATTTCGGTTCCTGAAACGGATATTTCTAAGTCTTTTAATTTTGTCTTCATATTTCATGCGCTTTTCATCTTAGTCCTTTGTCAGGTTATTCTAACTTTAAGTTTTTTTTTACATTTGATATGTAATTTTTTATTTTATTTTAATACCATTTATTTCTTTGGTTATATTATGTTTGCAGCGTCTGAGATTTAAGATTTCTTATACTTGTTATCTTGTTGTTCGCTTTATTTATGATTTTGACCTTAAATCTGTTCCCTTTATATTTTAGTCAATGTTTGAGGTCCTTTTCATGCGTATGTATGCAGGGTTAGTTTAGATTTGCTTTGAATGTATGCCTGGTCACCCATCGCACCCTATATCATATGACCACTTCTTGCGAGATTAAAATATATGTAAAATGCATCTCTTTGTTCGCTAATGAACGTACGATGAATATTTAACTTTCTTAGGAATAAGGTTATTCTATGTATACATGGATGAGAAAACATGAATGTAGGCTAATCACATGTTCAAACCATTATGATATGTATGCATGTACACATATTTATTTTAAGCATGTTGTTTGTACGCATAGATTTAGGTGTAATTTATCCTTTCAAAATTGACGTGTGATATCTTCATGTGCATAACTCAACCCATATCAAATAATCGAATTAATGGTAATATCCTTTCATTTTAAAATTGTTGTGAGGTGATTGTCTTAACTTATAAGAATGTCGATTCCGATGACTTTAAACTGAAAGTGTATCACGTTAAGTGAAACCCTAAAATTTTATTTTCACCTAAAATTTGGGAACGAAAGAAAAAGAAATATTCGTTTATTTAAATTATTCGAGAAAAGATTGTTAGAACTTATCTAAGGTTCGATCTCGACGTCTTTAAATAATCGAATACCCTTCTTCTTTCTAAAAAGGATTGATAATTTTTAATTTAATTTGTTTTTGCACATTTGAATATTACAATGGAATTGTAATATTTCTTTATTTTGATTAGAGTATGAATTGATTACCTCAAGGTATGAGGGGTCGTTTCTTCTCGATAGGAAATAATTAAATATTATTAGGTTGAATTTTAAAATTCATAAAGTGTTGTTTTATGGGATCATAAGCTAAATTAAATTCGAATTTGTGAATTTCAATGCAAAGACAATTAATTAATCGACTAAGTACCGATTTAGGGCGCTGTGGGATGCTAATCCTTCCTCACGCATAACCGACTCTCGAACTCAATTTTCTGGTACGCAGACTGCAAATTTGTCGTTTTAATTAAAATTAATATTTTTTTATTAAAACGACAAAATTTTTTGGGTGCCCAATCAAAACCTAATCAAAGATTGGTGGCGACTCCTCGAACCGTATTTTATTTTATTTAAAGGAAATCCTAAATTTTTCGAAGCGAGAGATTTTTTTTAAATCACATTACTTTTTAATTAAAAAGTAACCAAAAGAGATAAATTAAAAAATGTGTTTTTTTAAATCTTGAAAAAGAAAAAAACCGTTTTGACAGCTTGACGACTTCCCTGGGGGCTTTTTTTAGGTTCGTTCTAATTTGGTTTTTGATCCTGTAGATGCTCGTTTTTGTCCGGGCCTAACTAGAGCAAATCCGAAGCAACGATGGGCTTAAAGAAAAACCCAAACCATTTAGAAGCCCAAATCCAACAGAGCAGCTTCTATCACATGGAGATTTCATGGAAACCAAAATAAATATAGGAAGTTAATAAGCAGAAAAGAGGGGAGAGAAATATATTAGTTAGATCGTGAGAGGGATACGTGAGCAATGAGAAAACTGTAAGGGTCGGTTTTTAGGTTGTAATTAACCACTAGAATAAAAAGGGGGGGAGAGATGACAAAAAAAAGTTTTACAGGGGATTGATAAAAAAAGCTACTGGACATTCACAAAAAACACACAGTAAGAACGGAAGGGGGGAATCATTCGAAAGATTACCAAGCATCACAAAACAAAAAGCAAAACGGAGACCATTTTCTGAAGGAGGAAGAACCAGAAAAGTTTTCACACAGAGAGACCGAGAAAGATCAGTTATCACGAGAGGAGGAGAAGCAAAGAACTAGGCTAACTATCAACAATTCCACACTGTAAACGGAATACGAAAGAAAACAATTGTGTAATCTTATAATTCAAAAACAGATAAAGCATCAAAGGTACAATTTTTCCAAGGAATTCTTCCTCAATTCCTTTCGTTTTCCAGTTCGTTTTTGTTGTCTTTGTGTGTGTGCAATTGCTTTGTAAAACTAAAATTTAGAAAAGGATTGGGGACTTACCCAGTTTGTTTAAATACAAAAAGGAGGGGGTCTTATTGACCCCATTTGTTCTCTGTGTGGATTCCATAGTCAAGAAAGAAGTGTAAGGTTTAGTTTAACAATACCAAAATAAAATAAGAAGAGAGGAGTCGATTTACCTAGTGGAAGAGTTGGTCGCCGGAGTTGAAGCCATCGGGGTGGAGAGACTCGAGCGATAGAGGTGGTCGTTTGGCTTCGGTTGAAGTCCAGTAGCAGTCGGGGTTTAGTGTGGTCGTCGTTAGGGGGCCGGCAGGTGGCTATGGTGGTTGAAGTTTCGAGCGTGGGAGAGTGGAGTAAAAACAAATAAAGGTTTTAGGGTTCACGACAATATGAGTTTGGAGAAGAGAGGCAGGGAGAGATGAAGAAGAA